TTGGTTCGATTTACGGATCGAATCGCAACTAAAAAATCGACAAAAAATCAAATCGGAGGAGCTAGATTAATCGATATTCGATTTAATCGATTTTCAAACGACATCTCTATCATCGATGTATTTTTTACAGGATACTGACATCAAAAGCTTGCTGCAGAAACTTAACTCAAACAGTTACTTGGTTCTGCAGTGATATTATAGAAATTGCCTTGTTTAAATTCGATTGCCAAAAGCATGATAAAAATATAGTAAGGTAGAACCGCTGAGAGTCACTTTTAAAATTCTTGACGTTTCCAAACAATTTAATTTTTAAATTTACTCACAAACTCACACACACATTTTCATTTTCAATCTCAAGCAACAACAATTTCGAACAATTTCATTTTATTATTTTCACATTTATATGATTTTAAAATGTTGGCAAACTTCAAAAAAAAATCATGGCCGCCAAATTGAGAGAACGGTTATACCTTGCTATGTTTTTATCATGGCCAAAAGTGTATAAAAAAATTAACAACTTGCTCAATTTATGCAACATGAAAGCAAGAAATTACATTATAAGATCGTAAGCATGATGTATAGAAAGATAGATAGATAAAAGCACGGGTATGACAGAACAGTGTCGACCTGAAAGGTCTTTTGTATCTCTTAAAGAGGGAGACCCTAACCCATTATGCACAAGATACATTCGGCTTCCCTAATGAATCCTTAAAAAACCATTAGAGCTTTAAAATAAATCAACCTTTGTCTAGCCATACACCAGACAGTCCTCATCTTCAAGGCACCTTACTATTTGGCAATCGTAGTTGGTTGTGGCCCGTTAGGTAGTCAGAAAGTAGCCTGATGCCATTTATGTTTAATTGAAGAGCATTCGATCTATTAAAAGGGTAGCCGAAGAGCTTGGTTTGTCTATGACCCTTTCCGCCTCCCGATTACTGCGTTCGCGAGTATCCACTCAGTAATTACGGTTCTCTAAGAACACGAAAAACATTTTTCTTTTTAATCACCTTGCATTTATTTTATTATTAATTCCATCTCACTTCTCCTTCTACCTTCCAGATTCCACCCATTCAATATCACTCACCAATTTAAGTCCCGTCGAATCTAGCTTCTCACCCGCTGTGCCAACACCGATGAAACGCGGCCCCGGACGTCCACGCCTCAAGACCGCCGGTCCAACATATCAGGGCACACGTGGTGCACCACGCACACGCAAGCCCATCGGTCCGCTTGTAGTGCCATTGGGTCACAGTCCCGGCGCCACGCCAGTCTCACGCAGTCCGGCAGTTAGTCGAGCGCCAAGCCCAAGTTTTTCGGAACGCAGCAGCTACAGCGTGACGGGTGTAACGATTTCTGCAGCTACAAAGGATGCCGCCGGTGGTGGTGGCAGCGGCGGAGGAGAGAATTAATTTTGAAGGATATTTAATTAAATTATCAGCTAATTAATTTATTACAAAAAACTCTATATTAATTATATATTTAAATTTAAGCTGACTCTTTTGTAAAATTAATTTATTTAGATTTAGTTTCAACCACACTCACTTTTAGTAATTTAAGTTCAAAGTGTTCATTATGCATCATTAATCGGTTTAAGGTTAAAATGAAAAGAAAAGTAATAACAATAATCTACTTAATTACATATGTATGTATGTACTCGCTTAAGTAAATAGCACTCTTTTCTTTTTTACAAAATTCACAATGTTTTGCGCGATACATTTTGTTTTCGTTAATTTTATGTAAAAATGTATACCATAAAACTGCGTGCTGAACTCACGAAAATTTAATAAATAAAAAGAAAAAATTCATCAAAATTTGCAACTTTTTATTCAGAATTTTTATAAACTTATCGGGTATGCAGTTTTGTTTCCCAAGCCATTTTGGTGTAACAATTTGCAGGTGTGAAAGTCCTAAAATATCCCGTTGATTTTTGAGATTTTTTTTGTCGAGGGTGTTGCGCATTTTCTTCCATATAAGGATGAATAAAATCCAATTTTATATGGAAGAAAATGCGCAACAGGGATGAATAAAATTCATTTTTATGTGGAAGAAAATGCCCAACACCCACGACAAAAAAATTCAAACCTGCACCTATTTAGGCTACGAAACCGTACCCAATAAGTTTCTAAAAATTAAAAAAAAAGTTGAAAATTTTGATGATTTTTTTTTTTAATTTGCACATTTTCCTGAATTTTGCACAAAGTTTTAACCTTTGACTTCTTGGGTTGATGCTATAAAATTTACTATATTTTTTATTAAAAAAAAATTACGAAAAAATTTTATCACTTAAAACGTTGCGAATGTTGTAAAAAATAAGTGTGCTAAATATTTACGTGAGCGCCACTGTACATAACATGTTCATATGTACATATATAATTTTATGCGCAATTTTGCGTTACAAATTACAAAAAAAAAGAAGAAAAAACTATAATTTAATTTTTAAACTTTTATAAAACACCCTCAAATTGAATTACCAAGCTTAACTGTGTATGACTAAGAGAAATTCGCCTGAACGTTGTATTACTTATTCATAAAATTCTTTGTTATTGACATACTTTTTTATTTTTATAATCGATACCTTATTCCATATTCTGAACCAATGCAATTTGTACAATTATTATTTGCCAACGCGACACCTCAAGATAATGTAAAAATAATTTATCAGGCAGGTTCTGCGATTTCCGAGTGAATTTCAACCCTGCCAATTGAATTCAAAGGCATTTGATTGAAATTCACTCGGAAGTGAATTGCAGAACGGCCTGTATATTTGCTGTTCTATTCTAATAAAATCACAAAACTCAGCGCATCACTACTGCGCCTAAAAATATGCCACGAAATTCAAAAGTTGGTAGATTTCTCAAAAAACATACATTCATATATATTTACAATAAATATAGCAGAACAGTAGGCATTTCAATGGTAAAAAGAGAACAACCCAACTTTTGACTTCTGACTTCAGATTCAGATTTTCGGAAGCCTAACTTCTATAATTATTGACTTGAATCACTCGCCAGATATTTTTTGTTTTTGATTTTGTGTAGCTGTGTAATTTGCTGTGTGACTATAGCTCTTACTTAGCTATAGTACTTTAGAGTCGGTTTAAATTGATTTACTAAAAGTCTACTGAAACTTAGAGATTTTGAAGAGCTTAAAATTGCAAATTTTCAGACCATGGATATCGGTTTTAAAGAACGAATATTTTTTGGTACATATTTATTAGTTTCTAAGTATAATTAAAATGTATGTATATCGATAAGCTGAAACTTCGAATAATGTATGTATTCTATAATTATTTTAATGTATAATAAAATATGGACATATTTAAGCAAAATTTAATACTAAAAATTCGAATTTCGTATTATTGTGTTTAAAAGCGAAATATTTGCTCAAACCTTTTTCGTTCGCCGCCCGCTTGGAGAAAACATTTTTTGTTGAGCCTCCCTGAATTGGTTAACTTCAATTTACCATTGCTGCGAAAAAAAAAATTGAACTATTATTTTAGAAATGCATGTTTCTCGTTTCGGAATTCAATAAAGAATTTTTCTAGAAGAGCAATCTAAACGAATATTTAGTAATGTTTAGAGCAGGGCCTGTAGTCAGCATTTAATCAATATTTCATGATTTTTATTTGTTTCGCTCAAATTAATACTGAATTTGATTTTTACGCTCAACAGAAATTTATTACTATTTAATTTATATTTTTTCGATCACAAATAATGATAAGTTTACGATTTTTATTTTTTCGCTCAGATATAATACGTAATCACTAATGAGTTTTGTTTTTCTGCTTGAAAATAATTTTGATTTATAAAACTTAAATCCATATAGCCGCAAACAACTTCAATTTTGACCTGCAAAGTTTGAGACTTATTGCTTTCACCTTTGAAAAAGATACGTCGGTCAAGCTACTAGCTTTCAAGTTTTCAGTTTCTATAGAGACTTGGAAATTTTAATTAATTTTTTTTTCATCTAATATCCAAAATCGATAATACAATAATCGAAGATATCACACATAAATTTTGGTCCCGATTAGAGTCGGTTAAGATGTCTTCGTAGGGTAATATGAACTTTGACCCCCGTGCGACACGCCTTAATCGTCTTTAATCGGGATCAAGATTTATATGTGATATCTTCGACTATAGTTGCATCGACATAGGGGTTAAG